AGGCAGAATCATGCAGGCCGTAGAAACAATAATAGACTCGACGACCCTAACTTATTACTAATATCAGTGGGGCATGAGGCAGAATCATGCAGGCCGTAATACAATAATAAGATCATGGGGCTAACACATCTTTCAACCTATCGCTACTTCAACAATCTCGTGACGCGAACTGTTCATGAAGGCACTCGATATCAGCTAAAACAGCCGATTCTGGTATAGCGCACAGTTAAGATCATGCCCTCTCAGAAACAGATCTACCAAATAACGATCCTCACTCTACGGTGCAAACAGTGGGGTGTGAGGCAGAATCACACATGCCGTAATAACGGGCCATGGAACGGTTTTTGCTAGCCAATAGATCTACTCAAGATCAGACACGTCTTAACCGCACGCTATGCATAATTAAGATTAATATAAAACAGCCGATAAAACATAACTCATCGTTTAAAGTGTAGATTAGATCAAATTTAGATTAACAAACATGGGTTAAATAAGCTATAGGGCCGATCTAGATCAATCTCAATCGGACGAAGTGATATTGTTGTAATTAAATAAACAATGGAAGTAATAAGCAACATCGATAACTTAATGAATCTATCCAAAGGGGGTCGACGGCGGGGGAAAACTCCAATTGAAGCCCCGACACCGTACGGCTGCAACAGTGGCAAGCTTGGCGCGAAGCTAGACTCACACTTAACCTCTAGACATGCGCAATTACAAGGATGGGGCCAGCTCTGCTGGTTCTACCTTGGCGCGGCTCGGCCGGCACGACGCCATTGAGGCGATGTGACAGCGGGCTTGGTGTGGCGCAATTTCTAATTGGGGAAGGACGACATCGCGATGATGAAGGCTCCACGTGCGCGTACGAGTCCGGCACAACGATGTGCAACCGCAGCGCCATGACCCGGAAGACGACGGTGGCACGGCACTATGCGCCGCAGTGGTTGGCGCCAGTCCGAGGAAGCAACAGGGTGGCGTGGCATCGAGCGCGGACGTGATGGCGAAGTCAGGCGGCAGGTCTACGCGCGTGCAGCCGCGAAGGGTCAACGGCAGCAATGACCGGGTGAGCGGCGACTTGAGCGCAGCGCGACCGGGGGCGCAGCTCGACGTGACGGCAAGCAGCGTGGCTCAGGCGAACACGACGGTGTGCAGAGCAGTCAGGCTCGCTGGACCCAGCGTGCACACGAGTCATGTGCCAGAGCGCGGTAGCAGGAGGCCATGGCCAGCAGCGCGGAGCCATGCGTGCGGGCGTGCGCGCTCATGAGCATCGGGCGGCCGGCGCGGCAACACCGAGAGCCGGGCAGGGTGACCGCACCCAGGCGCTGGCATCGTTCAAAAACATGACTTGCACGCTTTTTTAAGCTGCTTAAAAATCCAACCCGATGATCCAGTAGCTAAACCAACTATTTTACGTTCGAGATGGTGTATCAAGCTACTAAAACCAATCTTAAGACCATGCCACTGCTTAACACGATTCCCCTATAAAAATTGTCAAACTTAGGTCCGTCGAACCATTTTCTGACTTACAAAAATTGACTAAGTTTTTTTGTTCGGATTCACTCAACTTCGATTTCCAAGCTACCAACTATGCTATCTAGCGAATCTCATTCTCGACCGCAAGTATTTCACTGCCACCTACGAAGTTTGTACTACAAACTTTATCAAAGTTTCGTCTATGCGTTCTATAGCATTCTTGTTCAATAAAAATTCGTTTAGAACACTAAGTGATACAACGCGGCATGAAATATAACATTCGTTTCGTGTTTTTGATGGATGTTTTAAGTTACGTATATTGCTTTACACGCTATATTACACCTATTTACATATAAGTATGATGCTCATGCAGTGTTTTAGCAAAAGACTGTACAGTGTAACACCGAGTATGTTACAATGGAGTAGCAGGATAAGGTTAGAGGCGAGTGGACAAGGTGATACACCAGTTGGACTGTTGGTCTGGTGCCGCGGCTCGCAAACACAACGTCCTGACGATCGGACGTCCTGACTAGAGCATTACCGAAACCTTATACAACACGCTATTACTCTCCACACCACACAATAACTGATGTTTTAGAGTTATCTTAAATCAAGCTATTTTAAGTTCGGTCATTTATAGAAAATAATATCAAAATTTATAACATAAAAAAGGTATAGTACAAAAATATATTTTGTGATATGGTAATTCTTGGAACAGGGCGTCTGTCCGCCTGAAAGCTTCCATTGGTGGACCGCGACGCCAGCCCAAATGACCCCCTTCTATCCGCCTGTCATCGCTGTTTCTAAAAAAATCACCGAAGCGGAGGGCACACTCCACCCGTGGTCATCCCGTGCTCGTCGCGACTGCCCATGATCATCTCGACTGTTGCGGAGGTTCCCCAGCTTGCCGCAGCCAGGGTGGAGCTCGCTCACGTGCAACTCATGGCAGCCCGGGTGGAGCCTACACACACATCTCGCGCTCCACCTGCCCAACTCGTGCCGTGGCTGGGGCGGAACTCGCTCACGCACAGCTCATGACGGTCGGGATGGAACTCGCCCACGCACAGCTCGTAGCGGACCTCACCCCGCGCATCGCTCGCGCTCCACCCGCACAGTGTGGAGACCTACCACGGCCTTCTCCACCAGACTTGCCGTGGACTTCTCCACCGGAGTGGCTAGGTCTGCGCTACCGGCAAGCTCTATACCAGTGAACTCCATACGCCGACGAGCCTCCATTCTCCCAAGTAGCAAGGAGATGTTGCGCTGAAGTCGCATGTTACAAGCGTATATTTGAAGCGTTTCAGATTGTTTCTGAGGTATGTTACAGTTGTTTTATATGGATGTTGCAAAAGTAGATCGGGATGTTGCACATGTTGAAATAGTTATACACATATGTTGGAAGTGTACGTTCCAAATGTTTGATCTATTTTTTAGACGCATGTTGCAAGTGTGTTTATTTGGATGTTGCACATGTTTCACACATATGTTGCAAGTGTTTTTATGTGGACGTTGCATATGTTTTGGAATTGTTTTTTGAAGTGTTTTATGTACTTTTTGTAAGTGTTTCAGATGAATGTTTCAAGTGTTTCATCTGGATGTCTCAAAAGTAGATCAGGTGTTCCTGCTAGAACCCACTTGCCGCAGCCGCCTGCTGCAGCGGCTGGGGCACCGCCGAGCGGGCATAGACGTCCGGACAGGGGAAGCGGAGGGGCGTGAGAGTCTCCACGTGGGGTCGGGCGGCATAGGCGACGTCGGTCGGCGTAGGCCCACGTGGGCGCAAGTAACGGAGAGCTGGCGCGGGCGAGCACTGCCATTTGTGATAAATCTATTAATGCTTAGTTGATATGATAGGCATCAATAGCTTTTTATATAAATTTAATCAAATCTTGAAATGGTTTGACTTTGAACAAACCTAAAACATACTCTATGAAATAGTTTGATTTAGGATAAATCTAAAACATTAGTTATTAAAAATGGGCAAGTAACTTATATGAATACAAATATGGAATGTTGTAAAAAAACAGTACGAATGTTTTTTTCACAAGATCCACAGCTAGAAACCAGAGAGGGTACGCTTGCACAGTCGTAACAGACGACCAGAGAGGTTACGCTGCACCTGGCCTACACCTGCAACGGCTGACCATCAATGACTAAGACCCGAATTAAACACGACAAAAAGAATTCAAAATTAAAATTCCCCACGATTACCTCCGCTTCATTAACGTTCTAATCATCACTCGTTCGCTCGTCCACGGCCATCGGCCCCCCTCTCCCTCCATCCCCCATCCCTCTCGCTCCTTTTCCCCCGCCTCCCCAACCACCGCCTCCCCCTCCCGGACCCCCTCGGCTCGGGCAGTCGGATCCGGCGAGGCAGAGGGCGCGGCTCCCGCAATCCGAGGCGGCTCCGCCGGGGATTCGTCCGGTTTCGGTGGGCTCCACCTGACAGGCGGCGGGGGTCGTAATTCTGAGAGGACGACGGAGCCGGGTGGTGCATGAGCGCTGGACCACGGCGCAGGCGCGCAGCGTAGGAGCACCGCGCGCCGCCGGGAGGCGCCATGATCGAGCAGTTCGTTAATTTCGTCATCCGGCCGCCCCGGTACGCGCTGTCCCGCCAGATATCCTGAGCATAGTTGCATTTGCTGCTTGTGTCCTATTAGGCATCAATTACGATGCTGCATTGGATGTGACCAACCGTGTTGTTTTGAATTGGAGAAGGAGAGGAGCGGGATCAATGCTGCCGTTAGTTCTCTGGCAACTGCATGTCCGCAAGCGTTGTTGAAATGCTGGCGTATTAGCTGTTTATTTAGCGTTGTCAAGAGGCATTTAGGACGAAGGATACCTGGAAATGCACAATTTGAAATTTCCAATGGAGGCTGAGATCATGATGATATTGGGTTACTGGTTTCAGCTAGTCTGGATCATGGTACATAAACTCTTGGTTATGTTATTGCAAATCTGTACCGTGTGCCATTAAAGTTAACATTAGGTAAAATCACAATATCCATTGAAGTTGTCAATTTGTCATGTTATGTGTACCTGAACTTTTCTAAGCATGTGGTAGTTGCTCATAGCTGTCAAGGGTTACTTTCGTGTTAATGTATGCATATAGCATTATTTAAAAAAAACAATTCAAGGGTAACTGTTTTTTTAGTGTTACCTTCTGCTTGAATTACCAATTTGAGATCCTCACTCGGAGGAGGGATCATGTGAGAATTGTTGGCTGCTACCACTTGATGTTGTACCGTTTTGGTTGCAATGTTCATGCTTTATGTGCCCTTTTGGAACACAGCTGTAAAGTGTTGCTTTGCTGAGGATGGACTAGTATGCTTTGTTCTGGAGCATTAATTGGAACATGGAATGCTTCTTTGTTCCCCAAATTTGGTTGCAAAGATGATTTAATGTAATGATAAAATTAACTGATCAATGGCTTTGCACCTTTCACATACCCATTGGTATCTTTTGTAACTTCTATATAATCCTGTTTCTCAACGCTGGGAGCTGTCAGCCTGTGTGCTGTGATCTTGGCCATGGCCATGTATAAAGTTGATAAATTTCTGCTGCTTGTACCTGTTGTGGAGGCAGTTAACTCCATTTTTGGGGATTTGAGGTGGTTCCATACGTTCTGGTCCCTCTGCGGTGAGAAGTATGGATGCTAGTTGGGCTGTGACATTGATACTTTGAACGCACTGTGGTTGTAATTTTGTTGCTTTAAGTAATGAAATTTGGGTTTCCCATTGTAGCAAAAAAAACATGAAATTTACTGAGCTAACAAAAAAGTGAAATTCATTAAACGAGTTAAGGATTCATCCATGTATCTGGTGTATTGGAACTGAATGAGTGTTAATTCACAGGTCAGAATATAATCCAGATCAGTATCTATGGGAGAAAGAGTTTATCCTCGCAGGACGTAAATACAAACGACTAGACTTGGAGGCAAGTACGGAGACCATTTATAGAGGTTTCTTCTGTCTTTTATTTGCTGATGGCAAGTTTGATGGCAATTATGAGCATCTTTGTTGATAACCTTATGGTAACTTGCTCCTGGCAGCTTACAAATGCAAGAGGCTATATCTTAAAATGCAGCCACTATGTTCCTGCTTTTATCCCAGAGAACACTGCCCTCCCATCTGTGGTCTATTGCCATGGAAATAGGTACTTAACTTTTATGCTCCATGTTTGCATATGCTTGACGATTCATAGGGTGCTTCCTTCTTTTAACATTTTTAAGACTTAGTTACAATTTTTTTTGCACTCCTTTATTTATATGATTCAGAAGCTCAAACAATCTCTGGTATCTTTTGGAATATTAAACAGGATTTTGCTTTGACTCAATGCAGCGGATGCCGAGCAGACGCAAATGAAGCCGCTGTAATACTTCTTCCTTCAAATATCACTGTTTTCACACTTGACTTTTCTGGGTCAGGTTTATCGGGTGGGGATTATGTCAGCTTGGGTTGGCATGAGGTATATAATCAGCGTTGTTCTTCGCTTATTCTACATTCATATTTTGGGTGATCACACCTTTCTGAAATTCCCAATAATTTACTTCTAGAAAGAGGACCTCAAATGTGCAGTGTCATGTCTTCGGGACAATAAACAAGTTTCCACTATAGGCCTTTGGGGGCGATCAATGGGTGCTGTTACATGGTAATCTGTAGTTTTGGATAAAGTTTGTGCTCTTTTTACTTGGTGCAAGATCTCTCTGTTCCATTTCATGCAATTCATTATCTTGAGGAGCAGTTTGCAAGTTCTTCCATAGCACTTTTCAGATGATATGCTTAAGATTGTTTTCAATCTTTTAAGTTTATGTCAAGGCTCAAATATTTCATCACCATTTGATGGCTGTCCCCTGTAATTCATTACAATATTTTGTATACAAATGTACAGCCTACTCTATGGAGCAGAGGACCCCTCTATTGCTGGCATGGTATTGGATAGTGCTTTTGCTAACCTGTATGACTTGATGATGGAACTTGTTGACGTTTACAAAATTCGAGTTCCTAAATTCACGGTATGACCAGCACATCTTCTGCATGCATTACTTTTGTGTTGAATGTATATTATGGGAATGGTGATGGGGACTTATGTCTTAATATGATTTACAATTGCTAACTTTGAAAAACAAACCAATAGGACCTGCTTTCTTTTCCTTTGTATTGAGCTTTACCTTAGGTTATTAAGTTCATAGATGAATTCACATGCTCGTTATTGCAATAAATTTGTGGAATGTGTAAAAGGATAATGTAGTTAGATCTAGTGAAAGTTCCATACTATCTTACATCCTTGCTAGCACAAGAGTCTATACAATCCTAGGAATCATTGCTGTAATTGTAAAGTTTTAATGGGTTGTTCTGAAATCTGCCCTTTCAGGTTAAGATGGCTGTACAGTACATGCGGCGAATCATTCAGAAAAGAGCTAAGTTTGACATAATGGATCTTAATGTTTTAAAGGTATACTTCTTAAAACATTATCTTTTCATAACATAATTTGACACCTTGAAGCCTTAATACAAAACAAAGAAGAATTCAACTCACGATGGTTGCAAAACTGCCTTTTGGCTTGTAGAAGTCATGTTTATATTTTGCATTGTATTATCCATGTCATGCTGATGTAAAATTTAATAGACCTGATAAATGATAAAAATAAGCTATTTGTTTAATTGCTTTTAATATGGTAGTGTCATAATAATTTCCTTCTGTAGATCCTTTATGCAGTTAGAACCACTTCTTCAGATTGGAATTTTCCATGTAGGATATTTTATAATTGTAGAATTTCCAGCAAAATTCTGGAAAGCCTCGCTTCTTTCTTTGTCTGTATTTGGCATGTATTTATTGATAATTTCCTTAAATAGGTCTGAGCAATTTTAGTGTTGAGGTTTTGCATTATCTGTTCCTTTTCTTTTAACCCAAAGACTGCTTAGTTTTAGAGTTTCTACTTTCTAGGTTGCCAATAGTGACCAACTGACCATCTGGTTATTGCCAGGATTGACAATTTTACACTTCTCTTGTCCTTTATTAGTCTGAGTCATTTATTGTTGAGATCTCTGTATGTTGTAATTCCTGCACAATTCCTGTAACTTTGAAAGAACCTGCTTATACTTCACATCAATCTAACTTCAGTGTTCTTTTGTTCATAACCAGTTGGCTCCCAAGATGTTTATCCCTGCATTATTTGGACATGGTTTTAATGATATGTTTATTCAGCCTCACCATTGTGATCGTATTCACCAGGCATATGGGGTAAATGTTTACTTAGCTTCCTTCATAAAAGTTAACTGGCATATAGATGGCAGATCATATTTATAATATTTATAACAAATAACATGGAGATTGGTAGTCGACTATTCCTGCTGCAGATCATGCTAGCCATTCTGTTAACCATTGCCTCATTGCATGTTTGTGTGCAGGGGGATAAAAATATAATTAAATTTGAGGGTGATCATAATTCCCCAAGACCTCAATCATATTATGATTCAGTTTCTATATTCTTCTATAAAACTTTGCGTCCTCCTATGCTGCCTGCAGCACGATCAAAGCTTCATATGGGAGCATTTAAAGTTGGTAACATAACCAATGAGGTAGATTAACGGAATGCCCATTGCAAAACTCCATTTGAACCTGAAGAGTATCTTATATGGTTTGGCTTCTAAGGAACCACCTTTGCCACCCCCACCCCCCCCTTCCCTATTCTTGCAGAGTTTCTTCTTTGAAATCATCAACGGTCTACGGTCAGCAAACACTGCAGCCTGCGGTTCATCAACAGATGCACCTAACATCCCACATGGTTTGGTCTCAGCTCCCTGAGTTACTTCCTTGTAAATTGTAATATTATAACAACTGGTTTTATACTGATTATTTTACCTTATTTTGTTTCAGATAGCACATCTGTATTTGAATTGTTGTCTAGCATGAATCAACTGTCCATTAAGAATGAGAATGACTTGGTAAGTTTATTGATATTTTGTCTGTGTCTGATGTGAAGACCTTTTTCCTTGCTTGTTTCCTTATCTGCATTCCATTAGCTGCAGGACTTTCTTTTAGATGAAAACCGCAGCCTGTCAGAGATTGATGGGGATAGTGTTGGATCACGTTTGCAGGTAAAGTTCACTGTATAACTTCAAGTAAGCTTACACGCAATTTGGACTCTGTATATTTTTTAGTCAAGTTGAGCAATTTTATCCATGCAATGCATTTTCTTGATTCCACTGGATTGTCCATTATGTTAAATTGTTTATTGTAATAGGCGTGAAACAGAGATGTCCGATCAGTGAGGGTCCTAAGGAATAAGTGTTGAGAACTGAGGCTCATATACTTCTTGCTTGCAAATTGTCTGATCAGAAGCGTTCCTTTCTTATAGGATAAAACAAGTAGGTGCAATGAGGAGTCATGTTCATTCACAAGCTCTAACAGAGAAAGTTGGGGCAGATGTTCATCTTTAGGAGCAGCCAGTGATGAATCATTGTCAGGCAATAATAATGATAAGCAGGTGGTACTTTGCTTCAATTGCTTGACAATTTAGTTATCCAGTGGCTGATATATCTTAATCAAAGCTAGTTTTTACTAGTTGCCTTCTTTCTAACTCTTGGCATTTACCACTTTGATATGATCAATGAAAAAAGATTAATTATCTGATCTAGTTATTGGTCCGTGCATCATAGAATTTGACAGTCAAGGCTTTGGCTACGCCTCTAAGACAAAACCAGAGACAAAGCCAGAGGAAACCGATTGAGAAAGCTAAGCAGAAGAAGGTTCAAGCGCTGTGGAAGAAGATTAAGCGTGAGAAGGTGGAGATGGGGGATAGCCTTTCTTCGCGTTTGAAGATGTGCCTGGGGCAATCTCCGCGGCACAAGAGGAATAGATCATCTGGAGGGATTACAACTTCATAGCCCTGACAAGTCTACTTGAACCACTGATTGTCCACCGCAGATTCTCCCTTATTCTGACCTACTGTTGTCATTACCACGCTGTAACGTATATAACCCTAGGTGAATATATGTTACACGACCGCAATGTAGCATGCAAGGATGCTCGAAAGCTGAGAAAGCACGCCCTTGTATCATCTCTTGTAATTGCCTGAAACAAGTGTGCCATCTCTGGCTCGCTGTTCATGTAATTTCTTTCCCCACTTGCATCCTGTAGTTTGCAGTGCTGCAATGCAACATCGGCTTGGTGGTGAAATGGAAATGAGGTTTGGTGTTTTCATCTTCAATCGCCATTGTTCGTAATTATTTGGACGTCTTGTTATTCCGTGCTGTCTAGAGGATTTGTCGGACACGATTTCACGAACTGTGGACTGTGGAGGTTTATATATATAGTTTTTTTTATTTGTTTCGTAATCTGGCTGCTAGTGACTGATGTAACCCAACCGTTCTTGCATCGGTGAAAGTTCCAGGAGGTGAAACCACAACTTCCTGATCAGGTAGTTTATTGGTTGTTCGGCTTGAGAAATTATGAACACATTTTAGCTAACTCATTACTTACAAGCACGTGATTATCTTAATAATAAGAAATGGTTTTATCCCACCAAAATTCTAATTCCATCGGCAGCTCATTCGTCACAAGCACATGATTAGCTTAATAATAAGAAATGACTTTATTTCACTAAAATTCACATGGCGAACACTGATTTTCCGATTGACCATTTCATTCCAGATGAGGTGATTTATCAAACTACACCCCTTTAATGTTGCAAGCAAAGATAGACATACAAGTACACAACCAAGCAATACTACAGCTAAAATGTTGATTTGAACTTACCAATTACAGCCACAACCAAGCAATTACAGTTTTCATGAGGTGGTCCGTGGACATTGTTGTGTACGTGAAAAAAGAAATTGTAGATTACCCAAAAGCCCCATTTAGATTTCAAGCTTACCTATGCGTCATGCGTGAGGACGGGTGGTGGAGAGGTAGAATGCGAGTAGCAACAATCCTTCGTCTTCCTCATCTGGTGGTTGACAAAATTATTGCAACTCCCAGGTGCCACTACCACCATATTTTTTCCTTCATGAAAGAATCTCGACTTCTTGTATGATTTTGCGATTAAAGCCCCGTTTGACAGGGCTTCTCTAGCGGCTTCAGGAGCCGCTTGGAGCTGTTTTCTGTCAAACGGGGTAAAATAAAACAGCTCCACCGATGAAGCCCCTAAAAACGTGCTCTCACAGAGCTTTGGGGGTGGGAAGGAGCCAAAAATAGTGGCTTCTCTTGGCTTCACCTCATTCTATATGGCGTTATCTGATAGCATATTTATCAAAACTATATGTGAAGCTGTTTTGCCAAACAATTTATCAAAACGGCTACAGCTCCACCCATAGAGTTGTTCATGGAGCTGAAGCCCCCAAAAAGGACTTCATGGGTGAAGTGGAGCCGTGCCAAACGGGACCTAAATAAAATGGCTTGATTCTACGATTTACTACGTTTATAATTTTTAAGTTTAATAATCTGATTTTAGATTATACCATTTCGACAATTCTCATTTATAAAAACAGATTTTTATTTCTGCGTTTCTGTAAACGTTTTACATTCAACCATCCACTATAATAAGATTTTAGCCTTCACCCAGTGAAGAGAAGTTTTCAAAACGCCTAAAATGGAGGGACCGAACAAAACTAATCAACATACTAAACATAGAACCTATTGGTATACACCACTCAGTCTTGGTGAAAAAATTCATTGCTGTAGTCTCCATCTAGCGGCATTGCCCTCTTCAAATTGGGCTGATCGACTTCCTTTTGAAGTATAGACTACGATTGTGAAATTTTCGATAAGTTGTCATATTCTTTCGATGCCTTTTTTTTTTACTTAGCTGCCCTAGTCAATGAGAGGTATAGTATAAGATCGGCTAGCGTTGAAAGCTGGGAGCGACATGTAGCACGGTAATATTTTTTCTTAATTCTTGAAGTTCAAAACATAAAGATATTCTTTTCGTTTCAAATTATAGTCACTTTAATTTTATCCATATTCAAACCTCTATAACTTTAACTAAATTTATTAAAAAATACACCAACACCTGCAACATATTTTTTATGAAAACATGTCGTGATATAGACTATTTATTTGAACTTGTAGTTGTTGATAATTTTTTTTAAAAAAAATCGGTCACTTAGGGGCTATATCAAGATTTTAATATTAGATATAGATGAGATCACATTTTGATAGCTAATTTCTCTTGTCTATATCTATTATTAAAGAGTGAACATTTCTTCCACCTATCACTCTCTCCCCTATACGTCTGCCCTAACTTTTTTTGTCACTTAGGGGGTGTTCGGCTGCCCTTAAAGTGGAGGAATTTAGATGGTTTAGAGGAATTCTAGAGGAATTTGTGAGAGAAAAACACTGTTCCGGATAAAAAAAGAAGCAAATCAAGCCGGGTTTAAGGGCACGCGAACGGGGCCTTAATCCATCGTCACTCACTCTCATCTTTTTTGCTTCGAGTTTAGAGCTGCAAAATATTCATCAATGCCACAACATTCATGCCATAGGCTGGCCGCCCGAGCTCGCTCACATCACGGCGCGCGTGTGGCTCGCCTTCCACTTTTGCCTTCTTTCACCTTTTTTTAAACTGACAACAGGTGCACACAATAGCCACCTATTTAAATTCAGTCAATCTCATATCAATTTTTCATACTGGATTAGTCATTTATTATTGCCTTAGAATTGATTATATGGATTCAAATTTATTTGATTTAAGGTTGGGTCAGGCCCAACTAAATCTAATAAAAATAGCTGCGCAACAAAACTTTTATTTCCAATTGCAACGTAAATACATGTTTTTCTAGTAATATATAATTAATGACAATATAAATTGATCATTAGAAAACATTTCTACATAAAAACCCCCAAAGTAACCACTTCTGTAGTATCAACTTTTGATATGATCAGAGCTGACGCCATGTTATGTATCCTTGGTGCATTGGCACCAGAGTGCCCAAATCTTTTGTCTAAATTGACTAATATTCATCACATATGACATGGAAAATTTGTATTTTGCTTCAGTGGTGCACCACTTTCACTTTGATGCTTCATTTTATCATATATATGATTAGACTACTTATTGATAAAAAAATAACAGTTTAAATTTTAAAATACGTGTTAGGATGATTGCTAGTGAGAGGTCTCTTAACATAGAGGTTCTGCTTGTGTTAATAAAACTTACTAAAATGACATTTTTGGAATTTCACGTTATCGTTGTGCTATGCTGACATCAGCAGCAGGAGGTAGCAGGAGGAACGTGTGTTGGAGACTTGGAGTTGGACGCGGGCGTTTCGCGCGCCGCGCGCGCATGCGTTACACTCTCGTAGGCTGCCCACCGCCCTCGGCGCCGGACACGCCTCTGCTTCTTCTCTCCATCCCATTTCCATCCACTCCACCACCAGATCCCCGCGAGCGCAGCCTCTCCATCTCCTCCTCCCTCCCTCCCACCGCATGCGCAACCCGCGCCTCCCTTCCCGGTCCCCTCCCTCCATCACCCGCCCGCAGGCGTCCTCTGTCGATTGCCGCCCCTCGGCCCTGCCGGTGGAGTGAGTGCCGGAGATCCGTCCGGAGGTGGATTTCTCCTCGGTAAGGATACTATCCAATTTTCCTCGGCCCTGTGCGGTTGCGCCCTTTTGTGGAAAGATCGTTCTTTTTGTGCCGCGCGCGGAATATTGATCTTTTCGCTGCTGTATGTGAGCCCCTGAATTCTCCAGTTCCTTCTTAATGTTCTTTCCGATCCGGTGGTTCGGTGCCGATTCGTTTGCTGCGTCAATCAGTGTATTTTTTTTTCATTTCCCCCAAAAATTGGGCCATTGGTAGTCGGTAGCCTCCATTTGCAACATTAGTTGTTCTTTTATCTTTTTTAAGAAAAAGAAAGCCTTAATTGTTTTCGGCACGTTAAACCCTTCGGTTTCGTTTGAGGGTAATTTCTGGTGAAATGCCACAGACATCATATATAGTTTTTGCCGCTATCAGTGCTGTTGTTCTTTTGTTGCATGTTACAAATGGTACACGTTTTGTATTTTTTTTTTATAATTTCAATGCTTATGCTTCCATCGTTAACTACTTTCCACTTAATTTGATTGATAAAAATTAAATTTACTATGTCAAAAACCTGTTACATTTATGAGGACAAGATCTTGTTCTTAGCAGCATGGTTCTTGGATCTCTTTATTTCATCTCTTGATCTTTATGTCTGCCAAAACTGTCTTTTATTGTTTTTGAGGTCAGTGCCTTTCATTGTGGCCGTACTAGCTTAGTGCCCCCCTAACATTAGTTCATCTCAAATCTAGGTTATAGTGGATATTGTTAATTTCTCACCATGAATATTATTTATATCTCCAGGCAAGGAGGTTTTGGCACCATACAAGATCGTCAAAATTGCGGAAATGGGAGGTGTAATTAGTGGTGACTCGCCAAGGCACAGCTCACCGGCATCGAAGTTAGAGAAGAAGATGGTTGAAGCCATGCAGCAGAGAGCATTAAAAGGAACCTCTGTGAAATCATTCAATAGTGTCATCATGAAATTTCCTAAAATCGACGAGAGTTTGAGAAACTGCAGGACCATCTTTCAGCAGTTTGGTGAGCTTTACCCCTCTATCTGAACCAGCACTATGGTACCATGTCATTTAAAGGTCAAAAATTGACATAAAACTGGATGCATAGTTGAAATATGTAAATTTAATTAGAGGCAGCCCTGAACAAATTATTAACTCTGTGTAGTCTTTATTCTACAATATTATTTTTGAATTATAGTGATACCCAGAGATATTTTGACTTCATCTAATGGATAAGTGCTGGACAATACTAGCATTAACAAATTGTTTTGAGTCGATCTAAATGAACTGTTGGTCCACCTATTTTGTTTATCCAACTAAAAGCAAAGATATTTCTCAAAGAGTAGTGCTCCGCGTAGAACACATTCTTCTAACTCTGGTGCAACCACACCATGCATGCGCATTTTATAGGACCAAAGTCTCCTGCTGCCTTTGGTCTAATGATGTCAGATAAATGCCTCGTGCGCATAGCAGTTATCTTTCTCCAAATTTACCATAGGATCCTGTGCATTGCATTATGCCAAGGAGTGAATTCAGGTGAAATCCACCAGATGAAACTTAACACATCCATGGCTCTTTTTGTCAGATTTAGGGAAAATGCTCCTGCAAATTTGAATCCACTAAAATAATTGAGCACAAGATAAACCTGCCCAATTTCTGTCCCATTTTACTTGCTTTTGAGCCTTGGTGTGCATTGACACCCACGTGAGGAATTTGTTGCCATCCGCATGAACTGGTCCAATCCAGACTTGCCCTGTCTAAATGAAATGTAAATACTGACCACAAATTATCTTTCATTCTTGGGATGTTTCATCAAACCTTTTTTTTGTGTGTTCTGACAAATGTTATTTTACTCTTTTGTATTTATGCAGATGAAGATTCCAATGGTGAAATAGATCAACTGGAACTAAAGCATTGTTTCCAAAATTTGGGTATTGAATCAACTGATGAGGAGATAAAAGATCTGTTTCAGGCATGTGACATTTATGAACACATGGGCATGAAGTTCAATGAGTTTATTGTCTTCCTGTGCCTTGTTTATCTTCTAAATGATCCTGCAGTGTCTGAAGCAGTATCCTTGCCATATTACAAAAATATCTACTGTTCAAAGTTCACTTTGTCTCTTTCTTTAGTGCAGGAAATCCACACAATGCGTTAATTTCCTAAGATTTCCAAAGTCTGATTCTTTCTCTATCTCAGCAAAATAAGATATTAAACTTGTGGTATGTGTTTACCTGAGATTTAGAACTGATCATGGTATAGTAATGTTTCTACTTGCTTTGTTGCATCCAGTAAGGCATATTAGTAGATCACATCAAGTTTTCTCTCTGAGATTTCCAAGATAAAGAATTCTAGTAGATAAAAACAACTTATTGAACTTTCTGGTATGAATATTTTATATTCATATAAGGAGGATACGTTAGACATTCCTCAAGTTGAGATCCTATTTTATGTATTCTTTTTATTCTGTATTTTTGGATATTGCTTATGTCCTTGACATGATGTTTTAGAGAAAAAGAATGGGATTAGGTAGCCTTGAACCAACATTTGAGACATTGGTCGAGTCATTTGTCTTCCTGGACAAGAACAAAGATGGATATGTCAGTAAGAGCGAGATGATACAAGCAATAAATGAGACAATTGGAGGAGAGCGCTCTTCTGGGCGCATAGGCATGAAAAGATTTGGTGAGTTATCTCCTCTGGAACCATCATCCACACTCCCTAATTTCTACTCTATTAGTTTCTCAATAAAAAGGTCAGTTGGTTTTCACCACAACCATCATATGTTGGTATGCCATTACTTGTCAGTCCTCTTTTCTTGAGACACCATTGCTTGTTCTTGAGAAATCAATTATGTGAATAACTTCTTTCCTTGGTGTGGCTGGATAGTTCTTTACTCGTTTTGAGAGCAAGGTAGGTAGCTTTTGTAGGCTACAACTGTTCATAGGATGTTCTTTTTCCTTTTTTTTCAGCTGTGATAGAAGATCATCTATTTTGAAGTCTCATGTTTTCAAAACTTTTATAACATTTAGGAATCAATTCTGAAGATTGATGCTTACTCCCAACTCTGAAGATTGATGCTTACATTTTGAAGATTTTTTGTTCTATCAATTCAGGAACCTTTGGATTCAGTGTCCATTGATGAAAATGCTTACTTCAAACTAATTGCCATAATCATCCTATGCTGGTGCACCATTGCTTTCTTTGTCATGTTTTCTAGGAACACCATTGTCTTTTGGTTGAGAAAACAGTGATCCCATACCTTCTTTCCTTGGTCTGGATAAGCAGTTCGTTCTCTCTTTTTTTAGGGCAAGGGTAGGTTGCTTATGTAGGCTACACTGTTCATATGTTTTTCTTTTTCCTTTTCCTTTTAACCTGTGATGAGAATCAAAGACAGCATGAATTTTGAACTACGAAAAAAAATAAAACAGAGATTTCATGCTTTCAAAAAAAAAAAAAAGAACTACGATCAAGTTTCATGCTTTCAGAGATTTCAACGTATTTTCGATTTTAGTCCCAAGACTCCCACTCTGAAGATGCATTCTTACATTTGGAAATTTACCCACTCAGCTTTGGATTCAGCGTTGATTGATGAAAACGCTTTACCTCGGTCCAGTCACGGTTAGGTATGAATATTTACCTGTGTTTATATGTTTGCCCTGATATTTACTCCTTTGGTGAAATGCAGAGGAAATGGATTGGGACAAGAACGGAACAGTGACCTTCAAGGAATTCCTTTTCGCTTTTACTCGCTGGGTGGGGATCGATAATGAAGACGACGAGGACGACGACGATGAAGAAGAATGAGCGTGTCAACTGAATATTATTAGGCGTTCTGAATTGGCCAATTCAGCTCCTCAGGAGGCCTCCAGCATAGTAGTTCATGCTCTTTGTGTGACGAGCTGATGGTAGATGTTCATGTTCCTATAAATAGAGTGAACACTAGTCGTGTTAAAGAATTTGCTGATAAAAAGTTACACTGGTCAGGTGCTGTTCAGTTAGGTTACCTTATCATTAAAAAGTATTTGCACTGTGCTTGAAAGTGTAAAATTGTGAATGGCAGTAAAATGCTCTTTACTTTGAAGTTGGTTGTTTTCTTCTTCTGTTCGTTTTGTGGAAACACATGCCCATGCCCATTAATGTTGCAGGACGGCTGGACGGGACGCAGAACAATGCCTACCTTTAAATGGAACTTTGGTCCCTGCGAATACAAACTTGGAGTCGCTTCAGTAGCAAAGGCGATCGAATGCAGGAACCCAAGTTGCTTGTAGTTGTGTCAAGAATTTACTGATAAGAAGTTGCAATGTGAGTTTGTGTTCAGTTAGCTAGGTAACAGCTCTGTTATTTATTATGAAGTTTGCAACTTGTTAAGAAAATACAGGATTGCCAAGGTTTGGGTTTAATGTAGCATCCGGTTTTAAGAATAAAACCATATATACATTATATGTGAGTCCAGAAAGTCAAATCTCACATATACCTACAAATAAGGGTAATATCATAAGACAATGCTTATTACATAGCGTATTAGTATAAAGAATATAACCTCAGAGTATAGGCAGCGGAAAGACAACTCTGATCTTCAGTTGAAGACTCCACTTCCATATGGACAACTAACTGGTTGATCACAAGCCTAATTCCTCCAAACTCTAGCAATCTGGTACCCATCCGGGATTTTTATCCAAATAATTAAAAAATAAAGCAAGCGTAAGTACATGTCGTACTCAACAAATATAACATGGGGTTCATAAGGTTCAAAAGGCTAACACTGGTTTAACTACGATTAGCTTTTAATGAGTCATGATTTTAGCAATTGAGTAGCAACAAATTTATTACAAGCCCATGTAAACACATGATCAGGTAAACATGAATAATGAATAGCATAAACAGTAATCGTTAATGAGCATCTTCATCATCAGTATCATATGTGTTCATCATCATTAATCATTAGTGATCATCTATTCCGTAAGGGTTCCAAGGCCGCTCGTGACCGTGAGCACGGCTGATATACCAGTTTTACACTCTGTAGAGGTTGTACACTTTCACTGTAAGTCGTGATTTACCCTTTCGCCCGAGGTAGCTAATCTCTTGACCCACTTCCATGGAAGATCGGCAGGGTTCACTATAAAGCCTTTCAAAGGTTCGTCTAACAAGTTAGCGCCATTAGATTCACTCGGCAAATAGATGTAGAGCCCCCCTTCCCGATGGCACAATGATGCGCAACTTATACACAAGGGGACAGATGCCATACTATACCCGATTCATTAAGCCATTTTTACGCCAATAAAGATAACCACTAACAAGCTAGAAAAGGTCCTCATACTGAGCTAAAGCTAGAGCCATGTAGCCCTCACAGTTGTACTGTAAGTCCCAGATGATCACTTACAGATAAGTCCTTAGGGAGAGGAATCTAGAGCACCATAAAAATAACCCAATGCTCTAGCCCCCTTGTTCCATGTTGCTAAAAAAATATCTTTTAATGTTTATTGCATATTCTATTAGTCAAGTTACAAGATCATGGTTGTGGTTGAGCACTAGCATCATACTACCCAATGTAATACCCCATAGAAATCAAGGTACAGGGTAACAAAGCACTAGAAAATCCTTAGTAACAGTCAAGGTAGACACATGCAGTATGAATTAAATGATTAAAGGTGTATAGGACAACAAGAAAGATCCCATGCTATACTTGCCTTAAAACTCAGACCCTTCTACTAAATTGTAACCTCCAAAAGACTTCTTCTGGATCACCAACTTCTTCTATTTTACCAACGTACTTCTCATCGACTGGACATGATCATAAAGCACCACACAAGCATCCATGCAATCATACACGAAGCAAACAATAGAACTAAATCAGAACAGTACACTAAACATAATAAACAACAAGTAAAAAGATTTTAAAGATGTTCTAGATGTTGGTACGAACACAGACACGAAAAACACGCTAATCAAAACTACGATCGTAAAGAAACGACTATATGGTTTTATATTATAAAAGAAAAGAGAAGACTATAAGCTTGATTTATGTTAATTAGAAAAAACTATGTGAGTAGCATTAATTTAGATTAAACAAATCATATTTATACTTAAAAACTGAGTTGAAGCTAATCATATTTTATTTATAAATATTTTGATAACATTTATGCCGATTCAACTTTAACTTGCAAATACAAACTGTCATGTGAAAACATCTAATCAAATTTAATATGTGTGTTTAGAATAAACATATTATAATTTAGAAACATATTTATGTCAATAACTAGTCAAGTTAAAACTTATTTGCAAAAGAGCATTGTATATAAATATGTTGCTTTTATTTATAAAAACTAGTTGCATGCATATTAATCAAATTAATATTTAAGTATATATATAAAAGTCACTTGACATGAAAAACGACGGCACTAGCATGTAGATCACATCGATACGAATCTAACGCTATTGGAACGGCTTGAAACGGACTTAAAACGAATATACGACGACGATATTACGAACCGGTGGTAATTTCGTAATTACCTCGTCTTCATCCTTTGGCCTCCCGTACAGCCACCATACGACCATGGCAACAGCAGCTGCGCAGAGGTGGGCTCGACTTGTTGCATGAAGGAGAGGATGGCCGGGCTGGGCAGCGCGACGACGACGACGAGAGAGAAAGAGGAGAAAAATCTAATTTACTACACGAGAGATTTTCTAAATTAGGGGCTCTTCTTACGGTAGTTTTGGTGTGCTTTGCTCAAGGGGTTGGTACATATTTATTGGGAAAAAACTCTCTTCATCTACATCAACTAGCAATATGGTACTAATTAATGTTACACCATCCACATTTACTAATGGGCCTAAATAATCATTAAAGTCCATTAATAAATAAATGCATGGGCCTTTAGGATTTATTAGGATTATTGCACATGGGCTTTGAACATTAGGAAAAATGAGACATTTATTATTTTCGGAATTAATTAATTTCGTGGATAAAATAATTCTAGAAAAGTCTAGAAATATTATTTAAGCCACGAAAAATACTTCGAAAGCTCTGAAAATTCGGGAAAATTCACAGATACATTATGGAACATGAGGAACCCAAATAAAGTATTTGGAGCTCATGATAAGATAATTTGGAGTATCTAAAAATTAAATTATGCTCATAGACAAGTAGGAACAAGTTCCAGAAAAAACTGAAAAAATTTCTGAGAAGTTTGTAGAGATTGATTGACGGACGAGGAACTAAAAAGAGTGATTTGCGTTACAAAGAAAAGATTTTAGTAAGCTCCCAACGAAAACTTGAGCCGAGAAACAAAAAATTTGATTGTAGAAAAAGGTAAATGTGTGTCGGAGAAGGAAAACCGACCTACTAACGTATTTTAAAGACTTTGCTTACTCTCAACACACAAAGAAGTTACAAGCAAACATCACATCATCCAAACGTCCATCAAAATTAAAAAACTTTGAAAATTCATATTTTTCCTATAATTAAATTTGCGTTAGCTCAAACTAAACTTGTAAATTTTATTCAAATATTAAAATAAATTATTTTATTTAGCGTTTTCTATGCATAACTTAAAATTAGAAATTTTGGAGCGTGACAGTGGTGCTCTTTGCTTTTGAAGTTTGGTGTTGGAGGACTTCTGAAGTTTGATGTTGGAGGACGAGCAACACCTACTGTTCCTACACGCGTGCTTTCAGTCTCTTCGTCAGTAGAGCAAAGGCGATCAAAGTGGTGTCGTAGTCGTAGGATAGTAGGGATCATCATAAGGCCAATAGGCCATGGCCCATTGAGTGAAAGCGCCAAGCTGCAATCCAAGCTCATGTGACGGACGGCCTGCGCGGTGACGGACGGATTGGTGGAATCTTTCCCAATCTGGCCACTGGCCAGAGCCAGACCCTTTCGTTTCTCACAGCAATCAGCAGCACTCCTCGCTACAGTGCAGCCCCTTCCATTCAGTGCAAGGCAGCGAGCTCGGCACCGCTCCGTACTGCATCTGCATGTCTACAGCTAGCTAGCTAGCATCTCCAGTTCTCCACCAGTCCACCACGGGCAGGCGCGGCAGCTTCTTCTTCTTCCGTTCCCTAGCTCTTCGCCGCGCCGCCGTCTGCCCTCTGCCTTGTGGTCCTTCCGCCACCGCCACCGTCCCGAGATGGCAATCACCTTCACCGACGGCGGGGCGAGGGTCACGTTCGACTCGACCTTGGAGTTCGTGCTCTGGGCGCTCGTGCTTCCTTTGGTCGTCGGCGCGTGCACGGGCTGCCTCGTCACCGTGGTGTACCCTGCCCTCGCAGACCTATTCATCCACGCCGTCGTCGCCACCGGCCGGCTGGTCAAGGCGCTGCTTGTTGTCCCTGCGGCCTTGGGCTGGGCCTGATGACGAGTCTTCTTCTTCTTCTTGTTCTTGGTGTTTCCAACTCTACCACAGTAGTATCTGGTATCTGGTAGCAGCAGTTCAGTAGTACTAGTACCATCTTTCTGGGCATTTCCTATGTATTTCTCGCGCTTTTTTTAACAGATTAGATTATTGTGGACAGTAGTGAACCATGCAAAAAATGGTTTGTTCATCATGTTATTATATATGCAATGGGTTGTTCAGCTGAAAATGCAGATCAGTGCGCCAGTCAAGAACATCCCACCCTGCCATGTGCCATGGTTAGGAGCATGAGCATTCATTTCTCACTTGCCTTAATTTGTCAAAACCAGTGACCTCAATGAGCTAGAGAAAAAGTGAAAGAAATAAAGCAGCTCATATGCTTTGGTGTCTTTCTGATCATGGCTGTATATGCTCTTGTTTGAGATGGGATGAACACAGGCCTGATTTGCTCTGCTTCCGGTCGTGGCACGAAATTCATTAAAGAAACATTATTACATTGGCGAGATTAGATTCTCACTGTTGGATCGCAGAAAATCTGAGAATTTGTTACTTGGTGACCAGCCATGTCTATTTTTTTTTGAGGGAATGCCCATCGGCAATTTTATTGATTCATTGGAATAGTTACATCGTTCATAAAAAACTCCAGAAGGAAACCAGGGGGTTCATCAACCCAAATACATGATTTTATCGCATTTAATTGACCGGTAGCCCGTTTAAAGTGGTTGTACTTGTAGTCTGGAATAAACACTAAACGTTAGGTCTCCTATTGTTTACTGTTTAGTGTTTTGGTGAACGTGGATTTAAATACTTTTTGTTCATGGTCTATATGAATATGACTAATTACTACTTTATTTGGAGATTTTAATCACTAATCATTTTGAAAATCAATTAGTTACCACTTGAGCATCTTTCCGAAGAATTATTACAATACTAAAATAGTTACTACTTCACTACCACATTCAGGGTTTTGTTCAAACATCAAAATTTCAAATACTACAGTTCAAAAAAAAAACAATTTACTAACTGCCTCACATTTATTTCTGACATCAAGAGTAATAAGTAAACTTAAATCACATAACCAAAATTGTTTGCTAATTACTACTTGAGCGTCATCTATCTACTACAGGATAATCTTTTTGTTTTGGCTAGAAAAAAAGCTTAATATGCTAGAATAAAAATCATCAAACACCACATGGGTAGTAAAACATATCACTACTTTTGGAAATTTCTACTTGATTATGAGTTTTCACTGTTGCACATAAAAAAAAGAATAAAATGGTGTTGTTTTACTGGTGCTGTTTTCTCTGATTTACGGTTGCAGATCAACTGGGTTTTGCACCGAATTTACTGGGGCGTGACCATAGCCACGCGCCGGCAGGTCACTATTCTTCTTCTCCACATGCCCTTCCTCCCTCGCCTCGCACACGCCACCACCGTCCAGCCCCCACCGCCCCGCCGCGGCGCGGTAGGGTCTCGCCGGAGGTCTGCGGCTGCGACCCTACCGCACCCACAGCGGCATCCTTCCCCTCGGCCTCCCTGCCCCAATCCCACCACCACCATGGTGACGAGCACCGCCGCGACGCCCCCACCCCGACCTGGCCCGGTTGCCTCCATCGCTGCCAGGGCCCCTAACCGCACAACCGTCATCCCCACCGCTTGGCCCGCTGGCCAGCCTGCCTCCCCCCAAAATTCCTTCTAAGCTCCACTGGAGTTGGAGATGAGGGAGACACAGGCGGTGTTGGGGGCACGAGTGTCGGAGATAGAGACGAGGGAGACAGAGAGCCATACGGACACAGGCGCCGGAGACGCGGATGCCGATACAGACATGGGTGGTGGTGCGGCCGTCGAGGATGCTGATGGGCCTGTTCGGGCCCATGTGGCAGAACCACCCAAATTATATGGCCCATGTGCACCTGTCATTGTCTTAAATACCTCTAACTGCTGCACACGAGAGCCATATAACTCCGGTAGTCTGTCGGGTGTCCTCGGGGAACCCCGAATCATCCATATTTTACAACTCATACAAGATCAACAATGGAGTTACCACAACATTACAACAATTGATACAAAAATATCTTACATCAGAGTATAACATTAGTTTACAAAATATGTTCAAGTCAAACTTAACTTAAGTTTCAAAATGTGAGTAGAATTACAGAAGCGACTTAGGTGAAGCATCTAAGGTAGAAGAGATGTCCAGATCATGTCGAGCCCACTAACATGACCTCAACTAGCAGCACGAGTCAGATCCTGCAACAGGGGTTAACAAACCCTGAGTACTTGAGGGTACTCAATAAGTCTTACCCGACTAAAAAGAAAAGACTCAAAGGGTATGCAGGCCTAAAGGAAAGTTTGAAGCAAGAAGTAACTTTAGCAGAAAAAGCTTATTACTAGTGGATCCTTACTTTCAATGTTTTAGCTGGGTATTACTTCATTATCAGTATCCAGTTTGCACCTGATCTAAATCAATCACTTCATTACTCATCTCATCTTATGTTCATCTCTTATCCATAAGTAACCATGTTCTATTGATTAACTACGATGTATGGTCAGAGGGTCGAGTCTCCATAACCGAGGAGCACGACGATTCGAATCGATTAGGCCCAGCTGGGATTTTCTTATCACATGACATATGCAGGTCCAAGACCTACATATATCAACCTTCACTCGGATCCTCCAAAACGTGAACCGGTCTACGCTACCCGAGAGCACAGTACTCCACCTCCCTGTGTCGTTCATCCGTGATGGATTCACAGGATGTGTACACGCTACTCTCACCATCTCCCATGCCCAGTGCACATTTGTCTTTTCACATATTGGAATAGCTGAGATATCAGGCTTACCAGAGTATGTGGCTAGTACTGCAAGGTCTTGGCCACACGGTGGCCTACAACGAACGATCCTCAATCAACACAGACAGGACAAGCACGTCCAGGCAACTCTGTCAGCTTAACCACCAAAGACATAACCCGTGCCCCATCTAGTCTCAATTTAATATTAACCTTATCGTGGTATTACCATGACTCATAAACAGAGCCAAGAAGAGGAAGGTAAACATGTTTCTCTCGAACGATGAAACCATCATTCGACTTCTATCGAAGTCTAAGCATTAATAAGCATCAGGGTAAACGACCTACAATACTAGCAGGGTACGACTAAGGATACCTAAATATCAAGGTAATCATGCAGCAATGGTATTCAACCAACTCCTAATTACTTAATGCACATCTCACAAGACTTAAAGTGTAATAAAGATTTGAAAATACTAGAGAAGGGTTTATGCTTCGGGGCTTGCTTGCGTTGTAGAGAAGGTTACAATCCACAGAAAGATCCAGAGGTTAACTTGGCATCAACACCACGGGTGGATGGACCTTCTTCAAAACTTGATCAACACGAATCTTCTCACTCTTGGATGTACTACATGTAATAAAGGATGCTTGCTTAACAAGATGGACTACATGCAATGATGCATGATGAGAGGCATTCAAATGCATGACAAAAGTTAAACAAGGTTAAGAAAGTTGAGTACAACTTTCCTTCAACAAAGAACCGGGTTCATTATCATAAAAGCATTTTAGTTAGTTAACTTATCAAGTATATTAGTTGTCTATTATGAAAAGAATTATACTAGCATGGTCCAACAAGAAGTGATTAACATTCATCATAACTCATGATCATTATAAGGAACTTATAAAACTAAACTAATTATTAAATAAACCCTTTTAATTTATTATATAAACAAGTTGATTCAAAGCATATCAAACAAGTAATTAACTTGCCAAGGAACAACAAGGGTTTTGGTGTTCCAAGGTCTACAATCAAAGTATAAAACACACCAAAGTCATTTTATGATTTATCCTAATTATTTTGGTAATTATTAATTAATAATTAAAGCATGCAATTAAGTGGATACATTAAAATTATCAAAATAGTACCATAATTTTTATGAAGGCAGGTATAAGCATGTAAAGCATACACAAAAAGTTTCATGATTAAAGGTTGTCACGACCTGGTCCTGATACCCTTGTGAGCATCAGCATCATGAGCATCTTTGCATTTGAAATCAAATAGTTAGAAACTGAATGCTGCATTAAACTGCTCACTGTTGAATTTGCGGAGAATCTGCCAGCACCACCGGGTTATCCGCCAGCTCGCTAGCACGCTGTCCGTCAGTAACCTGACACCACCGGAGAGTCCGCCGTCACGACGGATTGTCCAATAGGATCGTCCCATGTAGAAATGTGAGGTGTCACTTTGTGAATCACTAGGTCCCACACTTCACCATAGCTGTCCATCTCGTGGTCACACCAAGGCAGAGAGTCCACCAACTCACTCACTCACTCTTACACTCCCACTCTCTCTCTAGTTCATCTCTCTACTCTCTCTCACACTCAAGCAAGGCAGAGGAGAAGGAAGGGAGGAGAAAGGAGAAGGGATTGGAGCTTGGAAGCAGTAAGAGATGGCCGTGGAGATCACCTAGAGGCCGTCATCCACAAGAGGTAGGGGTTAGAAGGGGAAGGAGCCCTCTCACCCTTGCCATAAGGAGCTAGGAGGAGAAGGAGGCAAGAAGAAGAAGAAGGTTTCAAGTTACAAAGGAGGAGCTCCAGCTGCTCCATCTTCTTGGAGAGCTTGGTACCTTGTGTTTGCAGCCCCTGGTAAGGATCTAACCAAGCCAAACCTAGGATTGTGTCTTTAGGAGCCAAAACCTAGGAAACATTGATTTGTGGCCTAGAGTTAGTTTGCACCCAATGTAGTTAGAACTAATAAGCTAGATATGTTCTATAGAACCCTAGTAGTCTACCCTGAAGATGGTTTACACATGCAAGCACCATGGATGAAGATTTGGAACTTGAGTTACTACGAGGTGTTCACTGTCAGTATCGATGGAGGATCCGACATCACTAGCGGAGTGTCCGTCAGCACTGAATGTCTTACTGCTCACTTGCATAGAACACGTCTATAACCCACCAGAGTGTCCGTCACTACACCGGATCATCTGA